AAAAAAAAAAAAAAAAAAGGAGGACCCCACTCACGCGTGCAAGATAGTTTCGTCGAGTGAATTACATTTTAAAAGTTTTGGCGAGAAACCTCGTTCCTTATTAACGCGCGCGCGACAAACTCTGCGTGTATTTAAATGCGAGTCTCTTTAAGCAGAGGGTGGGAAAAGAAGAGGCGAGGGGAAGGCACTCTGCTCTGAATCTATAATTTACGAGAGAGCCCATTTGCACTTTGGATTTAAATACGTGATGGTGCACGCGGGGCAAACGAAAACAAACGAGTCGCGCGTGCACGAATCGTTGAATTTTGAGCGCGGCTCTCACTCACGCGCAAAACAAACAATGCACACAAAATAAGAGCGTAGGGGTATATAAGTAGGTGGGTACCTTCATTATGTAGTTCTTGTGGTCGAGGGTTGGTATGCCCGAGGACTCGAGATCGGCAGTGAGGTCGGTCATGTCGGTCTGCAGCTCGGCAAAGGCCTGCTTGCACTCCATCCTGACGTTGCTCTCGAGCGTGTCCATCTGTATCTGAATCCGTTTGTACTCGCGCTCGGCTTGCGTGCTCTTGCGCCGGTAGATCACGAGCACGAGGATGAAGATGAAGACGAGGCCAAAGGTGCCCGCCGCTATACCGGCTATGGCCTCGGGTGGTATGGGGTACGACTTGATCACGTCGTAGCGAAGGTAGCCGATCGGGAACCTCAAACTACGCCCGACCCGCACTACCACGAGAGGCAAGCCTTGCTCGGTCCTGAGGCCGTACTCGTCGGTTCCCGCAGGCTGCTGGTCCGGGGGCGTGCACACGAGCTGGCTCGTCGCCAGCGATGTCACGTTGCACAGTTGCGCGCCCACGGTCACGTTCACGTCGGACTCGTCGCTCGCGTAGTTCAGGTTCTCGCCCTCGATCACCAGGGTGTCGCCCTTGTAGAGCTTCACGTTGCGCGGAAACGGAAAGAACTTGGGATCCTCGACGTAGACGAGTCGCCGGCGTAGGCTCTGGGGCGCGTGTTTGTCGAGGTCGCGCACCGAGTCGACGCTGTCCATGACGAAGCCGATCTTTAAGGCGAGGCTCGGGCTGCTGCGCCCGTTGGCGGAGCGCCGTTTGCGTCGGCGATCGTTGCGTTGCCCGTCGAGCGCCATATTGTAGAACCGGCCTACGGCACTGGGACTCGGGCACTCCATTTGCGTGGGGTTGAGGACCGTGCACACGGTCCGGTTGACCGGGACGCTCTCCTTCTCAAAGTAGACAAACATCTCGGGCTTTTGGATCGTGTCGAGGTTTGTGCCGTGCACGGTGATCATGCGGCCCCCCGTGGCGAAGCTCTCGAGCGGCTTGATGTCCATGATCGTCGGGTCGGGCGTGTACCTGAACGGGTAGCCCTCGAGGGTGCGATTGGCCCCGTCAATGCTGAGGGTGAGCCGCGACACGGGACGAACGCGGCCCGAGCGACTGGTCACGCAGGTGAGCCTCGTGCTGCTGGCTTGGGTCGCGTTCACCAGACAGGGCAGCTCGTCGAGGTAGGCCGATATCGTGCTGCCGATGTTGAGGTACTGACCGGTGATGGCGAGACTCGTGCCGCCGCTCTGGGGCCCGACTTTCGGGTGGACGCCCGTCAGCCGAATGTCCTTGTAATTGAAGTAGACGGTGCTCTTGGTGTATCCGGCCTTGTTGCCGACTATGACGGCCGCCTGGTCCGTCGGCTCGTGCCGGCTCGTTCGGCAAACAATGCGCACCGAGATCTTGTAGTCGACGAGGGTGCAGTTGGCGCTGCCTATTCTTATCTTGCCCTCGACGTCCGCCTCCCGCAGACCGAGATTGCTACCCTCTATCGTGACGAGGGTGCCGCCCTCGATGGGCCCGCTCAGCGGTTTGATCATGTCGATCCTTGGCTTCGGGCACTCGCTCGACAGTTGATTCAGGCACGAGTCGCGGTAGACGCAGCTGTTGCCGCACCACGTGCACTCAAAGTGCCGCTCCCGGGTCACGCAGAGCGAACAATCGGCGTGCTCGCGGTGCGAGCCGAGGACCTCGCACTTGTAAAGGATGATGGTGGTGCGGTCGACGTAGTGGTTGGTGTTCCACATGACCATCACCTCGGCCTCGTACTCGCCTTTCTGGGCCTCGTACGAGTAGACGGTCTTGTCGCAGACGATGTACCGGCTACTGTTGACCCGCGCCTGCACTCGCAAGTGCGCGCCCTCGATCTTCACGAAGCACTGGAAACCGGTGTGGCCGACCTGGGGATGCGGTAGGTTTTCCACCTCGAGGGTTATTTCCTTGGGCACGTTGTTTGGCAGCATCAGGGGCTTCTCGCGACGAACGAACCGGGGACAGTACTGGACGCCGTGGGCCGCGAGATTCGCCTGCACGCTCTGCAATTGGGGAAAAAAAAAAAAAACACGATTTTCGCAAACAAAGCCCGGGGGGGGGGGAGGGAGGGACAACGAAAAGGGAGGAACAATATACTGGTAAGAGGACTCACGTTCTCGCTGGATATGATGTTCCCCTGGCACTCGGTGGTGTTGTGGGTGCACTTGTTGTCGTAGACGCACCAGCTGCAGCTCCACTGCGCCCTGACGCACTCTGAGCAAATGTTGTGCCTCGAGCAGTCAAAGTAGGCAAAATTTCGCGAGACAAAGTCCTTGTTGATCTCGCTCGACCTGACCGACAGGGGCACGAGCACGTGGTCCGCGTCCTTGGGAATGTTGGGCCGGGCGTCGACCGGTGGCGTTGGACAGGACAGGCCGTTCTTGGTCATGGCGGCGTCTATGGGATCGGCACCGCCAAAGATGCACTGGTAGTTGTTGCCCGAGGGCAGATCGGGCAGGGTGCGAATCGTCAACTGGACCGTCGTCATTTGCCTAATGGGTATGCGGTCGGGCAACACTTGCTCGAAGTCTATGCACTGCTGGCCGCTGCCCAGGGACAACCAGCGCGGGCTGCTGCGGTCCGCTCGATCGGCCTTTTTGCACTCGCGGCGAACCGTACACCTAGAGAAACACACACACACACACACACCCACACACACATACCGTAAAGTTGTTTCGAGGTTTCCGAGTCTGATACTTTGGGGGGGGGGGGGGAAGAGGCAGCCGGGACACGGGCGGAGCAAACCGATGGGCATTGATTTCGCCGGCAGCGGTCTCCGCGCATGTGTCGGTTCGCTCGTTAAACTTTTATCAAATTTATCTTCTCCCACGATACAACAACGGCAATCGGGCTGCGGTCATTAAATATTCATTCGACGAGCGAATATAAACGAGCTCATTTATAATTGACTAGCTTTCAAAGTAAATACTCACGCGCTGAATGTCATAGAAATAAATCAATTATATTGCGCGCGAGCATAAAATACACATTAAAACGTGGGAGAAGGAGGGGGGGGGGAAAAAAAAACTTGAACAAAACACAGCGTTGCATTAGCATACAAATGCGTGTCCTCTGTACAGATAACAGAGCCCGGGGGAGGAGTAGGGTGTAATTGCGTGTGAGTAGGAAATAACTCACCGTTTCTCGAGCGAGCACCATCCGCAGTAGGGATCCCCGGCGGTGAGACAGCTGTTGCAGTTGGTGTAGCTGCCGCAGTGCTGGACCCGGACCTTGGATATCCTCGAGGTCGAGAGAACGTAGAGGTAGTCGCCGGCGGGCGCGACAGCGGTGTCAGGCAGGATGCGCCGGCCCCTGTCGACGAGCACGCTCTCGTAGACCGAAGCCTCGCTCGCCGACAGCAGGACCTTTTTCACGCTACCGCTGTCCGTGCCGAGGAAGGCCACGCTCTGGCTCTCGGTGTTCGCCAGGGCTACCGACGTCACGAACGTGTCCGGGAAATGAAGCACCGCTTGGCCGATTATCGGCGCAACGCCGGATATCTTGAGCCCGACCTCGCAAAAGTTGCCAATGTTGCCGCTCGACTGCACACGGGGACCCAGAAATGGTTGAGTTTTCAAAGGGAACGCCATAATTAAGGGGGAGGGGGGAGGGGGATGGGCTCTCATTACCTGGGGACACTTGCCGTCCTGGATGGGGCCGCTGATGTAGTTCATGTTCCGGTACTTGATGCTGCTGTTGAAGCACATGTGTATATTCTCGTTGAACTTGGCCTCGATCTCCTGTAGACTGTAGACACAGAGGGCCGAGCGGGGCAGGGGCTCGCTGGTTATGCCCTTGCTCGGGGAGAACGTCGCGACAAAGACGGGCGAGCCCGTAGGTATGCCCAATTGGGAGGCGAGCTCGCGGCTCGCGGGCCCGATCTTCGCGTCCTGGACCAGTTTGTACGACTCGTTGTTGCGGCCACCATCTACGTTGCACTGCAGCGTCACCTCCGTGTAGCTATCGTAGTTTGGATCGCTGATGCAGCTGCGCGCCAGGCGAGATATGTAGCCTGGAAGATGAAACATTGGGAGAGGTTTTTTTTTTTTTTTTTTTTTTTTTTTTTCTCATTGAAGAATGTATCGAATGGAACGCAATGGGGCAACTTTCACGACACGGTACGTATAATATGTTATACGGTGGGCAAACACGCGAACGCGCTGCCTCTTTAATCATCAGATATCTGTAATTGCAAGGCGCAAAGAGGAAACGAAATAATGACGGGGCACGTGAGCAACGTTTAACTTGCAACAACATCATAATATTGTATGGGGATTGTATTGGTAAATATATTGCTTAAGAAAAAGAAAAGAGGCCCACCTAGTTCTTCCTCCTCGGAAAGATACGAGGATTTCTGGACGAGGACAAAGTAGGCGTACTCGCTGGCGTTGAACCCGTAGACGTACTTGACGATAAAGTGATCCCGATACTTGACGTCGATGTGCAGGACCGGCTGCTTGTTGAACGTGAACTCGGCTATGTCGAGGGTGTCGAGGCGCCGGCCGGATATGGCTGGCACGTCGTGCCTGTACTCGGCGTTGTTGGTAAAGGTCGTGCCGACGTAGAGTATGTTGGAGCGTTGCCAGGTCGTGTAGCGCTCCGGGCCGATGAACGCGAACGTGGACGAGGTCTCGTCGTTGGCCGCGACGCCGAAGGTAAAGTTCTCCGGTTGGTGCTCGATGCTCGTCATGTTGCGCTTTTCGCAGGCACCCTGGTACACCGAGCCGCAAACAATGAGGCTACGGCTGTCGGGATCGGCAACCAGGACCTTGTTCACGTTGTCCGTTGGTGTGGTCTCGATGTCCGCCGAACTGCAACCTCGGGCGTGACACTGGGGATTGTCGTGCCTCGGACCTGTGGGGGAGGGAGGCACACACATTGTGGTTGTTTGTTTGTTCGTCTACTGCGATACCCCATGCTTCTCGTCGTCGACGCCGCGTTGGGCTAATTGAGCTCGGGGAGCACTAGACCAAGCAAACGGGGCGCGCGTACACAATATATACACACACCCCGCACCGGGTAAAGTTCCCGTCGGCTGATTTATTATTTAAATGGCCATTTCGTGTTTACGTAATCGAGAGAGAGAGAGCCCGGCTCCGTGATGTGTACGCAAGCACATAAGCGGCTTATAGCTATCCATCCGATACTATAATCAACAGGTCATTCGGGGGCCCTGTTTGGCATTAGAGCGGACTTTGCCCCGCTGGATTTTGTAAATGCAAATGAGTTATGGATTACCGCCAGCTGATGACGGTGTGGTGGTACTATGTATATAGGTATATTATGTAACCTCCAGTGCAGCGCTACCGTATAATATCCTCCTGATTGAAATTTTCATAGTTAATGTCCGTCAATTGAAGATACGGCGGGCAGGTGATATGCTCCATATACCCACAATACCGAGATTAGGCGAGCAATTTTCCCAAATGCGAAACGCGTACACTGCAAGGTAGATTTAACAGGAGCATGTGTGACCTTTCGGTAGGCAATTGATTCACGGTGTTTTTACTCAATAGTCAGGTATATTGTTGACCTCACCCGCGTCCAACTGCACCAGTTGAAAAAGTATACAGGTGTGTGTCGCGGAAGAGAAAAAGAAATGGGGGGCGGGGGGGGGGGTAAATATCTTACCGGTGATGACGAGCTCCCTGAGCCGGAGATCCGGGTCGAGCTGCACGAGCCTGTTGACGGCGCCCGCGTACAATTGCCCGGACCTCGGGTCGAGCACCAGGTGGTTGAACCGGAGCTCCTCGTCGCGGGTCGCATTGTTAGTGTCGGGCGCGGCCGGGAACTGGGCGACGATGTGCTGGGGCTCGGTCGTCGGTGGACCGCTCGTCGAGCCATCATCGGCTCGGACGACAGCGCAGACTAGGAGGTAGAGGAGGGGAAAGAGAAGGGAGAAGGGCAACCGCGGCGGGGGAGGCACGAGCGGCCTCGCCGCGGGTAGGGGCTTCATTGGTCTCTGCTTTTGGGTCCGCGCGTGCACCCTCCTCATGGATTATATTTGCAAAGGGCGGGGAGTTGAGTTGAGTTACAGGGGATGGGAGTTGTGCGGGTGACAGGCTCTCTCGGAGCCAGCAGCTGCCGGCGGGTCGTAGAATTGTCGAGCCGGCGCGGCTCTTCTCTGCTCGTCGTCGTCGTCGTCGTCGTCGTCGTTGCTATACTGCTACCACTGCTGCTGCTCATCTGGTGATGGTGCGGCTCTCCTCCTGTCATTGTTCACATGTGCTCCACCGGCTGCAAAACATATCATATGAGAGAGAAAGCACTTAGAGTACGTGTACAAGGTGTACTAGTGTGTGTGTGTGTGTGTGTGTGTGTGTTGCGTTGTTGTGTACCATGCACGTAGGTGTTAAATCTCTACTTCTCTCCTCCCGCTTTGCTGGGTACTATATGGTTACTTTTTTTTCCCCTCCCTCTCTTTATCGCGCTCTTCACCGAGCCGATGGAAATTTTAGTACTCGCGGGGGCGTTTATACATGCGTGCGAAGAATGGGAGGGGGTACCACCTTATTATACACGCGCGTACTTTTATTATTTTCCTTAAAAGGGGGAGGAGGAGGAGGAGGAGGAGGAAGTGTCGAGAGGTCATATTCGTGGACTACGTGTATATGTATAATACGCGCGTGCAATCGTCGTGTGGATTATGCGCGAAAGACCAAAGAGACCAGGTATATACATATACGTATATATACAAATCTGACTATCAATCACGCGGGTTGGCGCGTTCCATCAATAAGATGTGTATACTCCGACTGACGTTTTTAGCGTTTAATAAATCAATTATATTCCCCCCCCCCTCTTGCCGTGCACGGATGGACGTATACACGTATATATACACAAAGCGCCCGGGTGCGATCGATCAATCACGATTTCGCGAGTCCGTGTATACGATTTAATTGGACCGAGTCCAAGAGCGTTTAATCTAAATTTCATTTGTACCCCCCCCCCCTTCTCTACTCTACCCTACTCTCGCCAACTGTAGTCGATCAATTGTGCGTGTGTATACGTGCAGATGTGCGCGCTCGCTTTAACGAATCGTGTTTTTAACAAAAACTTTTTTTTTTTTTTTTTCTTTTTTTTTCTTCCTTTTCCTTATGGTGCTTTTTGCAGTCGCTCTCCAAGCTGATAGAGCACCGTGCACGTACCGGGAAGCACTCGCACGCCCACACACTCGAGACGCGAAGAAAGAAAGATATAGGTACAATCTTATCGTGCATGCGCGCGCGACCGCGCGTGTGTGTGTCATCCAACAAAACGAAGAATGTAACAATAATAATGTACATCGCGTTAAAAACGCGTGCGGGCACTAAAAGCCGCAGTTAAGTAAAAACCAAGTGGATAATATGATATATTATAGTATGTATACGTATACACGCAACGGACAAGAGCTGACCTCCGAGAAGCAGGGCGATGGTACAGGCTCCCATATATGTATACGTATGAATGGGCGTCAACAAAAAATATTACTTGAGTACTACAATTACGAGGGGGGAGGGAGGGGGGTAAGTAAATTATATTATAGCTTGGCGCCCGAGCTCGGCGCGACAAACGTTTTCTTTATAATATATCCTCCATCACCAATCACCACGAGAACACGCATATATTTATTCATACGTAATATTTATATGTACATTTATACTTTGCGATTTAAAAACAAAAACAATGCACCCGATTGGCTTGTACGCGCACTGCACGCGTATACATGGGTGTATCTTTCGCATCGATTTTCCCCACTCGAAGGGAAAGGTGGAAATGTATGTGTATATATATGTATGCGTGGGTCTCCCGCTCACGCGCCAAATTGGTCGGATAAGAGAAAAAAAAAAAAAAAGAAAAAAAAGTTAAACGCCGCTTGGTGTTCTCTCTCTCTCTCTCTCTCTTCTTATCCAGGAAGCGCGCGAGAGCGAGTTCTTTTCAAAGTACATACATGGTACAAGTACACACAGAGCTCGCAGCTAAGCAGCAACACACTGACTTAATTGAAACAAATCGCCGGTAATCGAGCTCGCATGTGTGTGTATGTGTGTACACACGCAAAAAGGGCGCGTAAAGCAGGGGGAGGGGTGTAAGGAAATCATTTGTTGGAATCAATTTAAAAAACATTTCGAGAGTTAAAAGGGGGACGCTGATGAGGGAATTATTATAATGTATGTGTGCGTGTGTGTTGTCGCGTCAATAATGCAATCACGCGCATGACAGGAGGATATGGGGTAAACAAAAAAATACTTGTTTGTGAGTTCCTGTGATTTTTTTTTTTTTTTCCATTTCTTTCGACGTAAGAGTATATACATTACGTACTCCACTCAACGTACACACGCGCGGTCATTTGTATACGTCCGATTTCGTTAACATGTGCACGCGAGGGTGACGGCCACAGTGTAACAATAAACACTCGGAAAAAAGCCCATCGCTTGGGCAAACAGGAATGATTTTCTTCGTGTGTGTTTTCGCACGATGCCGAGATAATAATAATTTTTGACAAAGCGGCGTGTTATTATTTCGTACAAGTTTGAGTGCCATTATTGATTTTATCTTTACCACGATACCTACACTAAGATCTCGACTAAGATGGTGGATGAGAAAAGACAGAGTCATTGTTTTTTTTTTAACTGTACAAGGTAAACTCTGCTACATCACTATAAAAATTATCCCGTAAAGTGACGTCTAAAGAGATAAAAAAATTTTTCAGTTATCGTACATTACCGATTTATCAATTTTCGAATTTCCCCGTTATAAACAAGGCAGGAAGTGGAGGGACAAAAAACCGTCACGAAACGACGATCGAAACATGTGCGAAAAGTGTTGTCATTGTCACGAAAACCGAGCGAAAACGTGCTCAATATGGATATTCGTGGTAAAGTTGAGATTGAACCATATACATACGGCGAAAAGTGTATGTATGAATATTGTACAGGGGGATGTAGTATAAGGATAACTAATGAGAAGACCTATATAAGCTGTGTACATGTATACGCGCGAGAAGGGATTTTCCCGTGGGTCTTGTCCGAATTCCTCGGGGTGAAACCCGTTGCTCGAGCATTTATTTATGGCTAAACTTGCGGTCCCTGTTAATTAAATTAGGACGACTATTGATTGTTCGGCTTTTATGGGAACACGACACGGCGGGTTGGATTTATTCATACCTGATCGATAAAACTATGTATATATATATTTTATTTAATTCGACGTTTATCCCCTGAGTAATAGCAAACTATCTAGCTGTAAACGATTGCAGTATTTTTTTTCTTCTCCTCATACCTTCTGCAAAACTATGTATATTTTTTTCCCCACTTTTTTCAAGGGGTGGAAAGTATTAATAACGCTATCGATCTACAATCACGGGAAAAGCGTACAGTATTTTTAACGGAGGTGTGGATACAAACAGCACATTGCACATCCACGTTGAAGCAAAAGCGAAGTAGCGTGTCTCTTGGTTTTCGTGCTTATTAGTTCCCCGAGGCGAATCTAAGGGTGACAAACATGTTTTTGTGGTGTGTATGCTGCTATTTTTCATGTCTATGCGGAAAAGGAGGAGGAGGAGGACATGGGTAGATACAGCGTGTGCACACTTTAACCCCCCGTAGGCAGAACAAAACACACACGTACCTTTTGCGAGAGGAAAACAAAAAGAAGCTCTGCGCATACAAATGGCATCCTCGGCTATCGCCGGAGACGTCATGTATACATATGTAACAATTGAAGTATTATTCAAGTATTATTTGACATACAGAGTGTCTCGCAGAGTGTTTATTTGTCTCTTTTAAAGGGGTAATGGATATTACAAGAAAATCAAGTTCTAACGAGACACGCATTCACTTCAACAGATTACATAGGACTTTGATGAGTTAATGACGACTAAAAACGGTAATGGCATCATGAAGCTGCGGAAACGTGCTCTGGACTGCGACTACCGAAACCAGATGCTCATTTTCACTGTGGTAAGTAAGTATATAGTACTGGTGAGATGCACACGATGGATAAAGCCCCGCCACCAGTAAGAAAACTTTGTAAGCTGCTAATGACTCCTTGCGAAAAAAAAAAAAAAAAAAAAAAAAAACTCGAAAAATTCGTGGGGCCTTATCTCAGCCACTTACCGAAGGCGCACGTACGCCAACTTTTCTCCTAAGCCAAATAGCTCCCTTGAGCCAGAGAGAAATGGAAGGAGTTTCCAATCAGCTTATCTCTCGGCTTTTTATTCCTTTTTTTTTTCTTTTTCCAACAATACATAGTTTCAAGTTTGTGTATAGTTTTTGAAAAATTGTTGTTTATCTGGAAGAACATGGCATCAAAATCCTCGCGGGTTTTGACAAATCAAGCTTTTTGTGATGGAAATTTATGTGCAGACGCGCTCTTGAACGTCTTGAACGTGGAAAAAAAAAATTATCTTCTCACTGCTTTTTGTGCCACGGGAAGAAGTAACGTACACCTCTCTCTTTTCATCATCACAATGTACTAACTCTTTTTCGTCGTCTCGATAAGCAATTAATTACTTATTTCACCTTTTTTTTATTGACTCAACATAATTATATACACTTGCATTGCCGTAAGAGCCATTTTTTACACGAGAGGACCTTTTTTTATTGTATTAAAGGTAATGAGGATTTTCGATACCAATGAGAAGACGTGGCCAGCCCTATATAAGCGACGCGGACAAGTCACGCCTGGTCCATCAGGCTGTTTGTATCGAGTACTATTACGCATATGTGCACCAGATTATTCTTGCCTCAGCTCGTAAAACAAAGACTAAAACACCGTCTCACGGGCAGTGTACTTTTGAGTGTAGGTGGAATCTTTACAGATCCTCCAACTGTGTAGGAGAATGTGCTGTGCCACACTGAACACCCTCAACTTGATGAAGGTATTATAGGTTTAACTTTTGCGCGTATGATTAAAAAAAGGGTAAAGAAAAAAAAAGAGGAAAAAAGTCACATTAGCCATTTTCATCATCCCAAC